ATTAAGGTTGCAGAAAATATTTGTCGAGACAATTTCTTCGTTTCAAATCATAACTACAATCTGTGTTTTACTTATTTATTCCTAAAGAGAGAAACAGTTTAGACGATTAAAAAAGTGATTGAGAAGGAAAACAGAAAACCTAAGAATGAGTAAAATGCGAATACATTAAAAAATCATAGAAATTAAGTAAAGAGTAATTTGCGTGATTATTTAGAATCAAAACATAAAAATTAACACAAAATAAAGAAGTAATTCAAATTTATTTGACTTTCCGCGGTTTTAATATTCTTTACTTATACTTCAAACAAAACAGATTTTACGCTAATGTGTAATATTCAATTAATTATTTGACGAACTAAGTAAGCACTTCAAACATGCCTTTTTTTTATAAGTTATTAGTACTCAATAATACATCTTGTTAAATATTTCTACTAAGTTTTTCCTCTGCGGACAAACCTTAAAATTGAATGCATTGAAAATTAATTATATACATCTTTTTTTCTGGATAAAAATTTTGATGATTGTTGTATGTAATCTTCCGTATTATGTGATCTTGAAAATGTTTCTTTGCGGAAAATTTATTTGTTTTTACATTAGACATAAATTAGAAGTTTTAAAATCAAATTTGTTATCTTTACGGACTTCTAATCAACTTCTAATCAACATTCATGTCTACTCTACTGTCTTCATAGCTTCTCTATAATAGGCTGATATATATATATATAGATGCCTTTCGGCCGCCCAACCAGTATAGCGGTTAGCGTCGCTGACTGCCGTGCCGAAAGCCCCGGGCTCGAATCCTGGAGAAGGCAGGATTCTTCTAAATGTATAGTGGCCGTGCGGGATGGGAGCACTCTAAATATGCGGCGAGTCGAAAGTCTTCTCGAGAGGTTCGTGGTAGGGAAAGAGGAGTGAGACCCTCGGACCCATTTTCCGATGTGCTCTCCATCAAAACTGGGGGCGGAACTGAGCTAAATGGCACTGGCACCTGTAATGTGCTCAAGGCTCAGGTGTAAACTTGGCGCTCTATTCCAGGAGAATTTCTTGGCTTGGGCTGACTATAGTCGGCCGAAAGAGTATTAAAAACAACTTCTTTTATTGCCTCAGCCACCTAATGACGATCCAACAAAAGAAGAAAATTTCTTTTCTCCCTTTTTTTTTTTTTTTTGTGTGTGTGTGTGTGTGTGTGTGCCTATTATTCAGCGTCACTGTACTTTTTGTTTTTCTGCTTTTTCTTTGTATTTATTCATTATACATATATACATATTTATAAAAATAATCTGGGGTATCTGTCTTAGAATTTCTTTCCATTACAAACATAAACCATTTCATTCAATCACATCGAACTTGACTATAACTATTATCAATACAAAATGTTTACAGATTTATGTCCTCGATTTCGGAAAATTTTTGATATTTTAGAATTTTATTTCCTGGAATCTCATAAAACAGTACTAAATCCAGAAGCCACATAGACATATATTTGGAATAGATGACATGCCTGTCTTTCTCACATCGCGTCGTCTTTCGTAAATCAGACAGCAAGACATCAAATTCGTCACTCAACTTGTCAATTAGTACCGGTCTTCGATCTCAGGTGTCAACTATTCACAGATATAGCAGTGTTTCAAATAAAGTTTTTCAAGATTTTCTAAAAGCTTTCCCATCTTAGGTTTACATAGAAATGAATGCTGTAAAGCATATGAGCAAAGAACTAACCAATATATCTTTTTCTTATCTACAGTGACACGTTTTCATTCATTGGTGATAACCGATTCATTCTATGGTTATTTTCCCAAACTAAACACAGCACCTTGGCTGAGAGCTGTACAAACAGATTCTGATGGCAGATATATAATTGTTTACGGAAGTAGATTAAGTCTTCATGAAATGAGAGCTTTTAGTGTATTGTGTTAGAGTACTTAATAATTACTTGCGCTATAGATGTCATGAGAATAGTTGGAGCTTTTAGAGTATTATACTAAAGTACTTAGTAATTACATGCACTACGGTTGTCTTGAGAATATTTATCACCATCATATATAAACATATGTGCTATAGACAATATTATTCATCTTAATTATAATAAGACCTTAGATTAATATACTATAACTGCAGCTGAATTTTATTAATTTTACGATAGGACTTATTAACTAAATTCTAAAGGATATTGCAGTAAATTACTATAATGGATAATATTACCGTGATATGAATATTTATAATAGAATGAAGCTCAGAAAAATTTACAAAACTGAATTTCCTACATACTAGCAATAGCAAATTGTGCATTTAACATAACGCTTGCTTCTATTATTTCTTATGTTTAACGTTATGGCGATAAATATAATGGCGTGAATGTGTTTTAGGTAATTTGCAATGAATTATTGTTCCCTAGTGCGTGCCCTCATGGTGTGAGTGCTTAACACGCCCAGCTGGCAGTTGGAAGATCTGTGGTTCGAGTCCCGTAAGGGCATTGCTGATTACTCGCGTTACTAAAAGCTTAATAGCTCTAGACATTCGTACCTAAATGAAGATGCTGCGGGCAATATTAAATCACCACTTGGATTTGGTCGGCTGGATTTCATGCCTCTTCTTAGTCGTCTTTTAAGCTCTGTGGAATTATAAGGCGTCATTACATTTCCTTCTGTATACTCTGTAATCAACAGGATGTGCTTCCCCAAGTGTACTTTTGTGTTGTAAGTGCTTAGCATATCTGTCTGGCAAATGGAAAATCTGCGGTTTAAATCATACTTATTTTTAGGTTTCCTGATCCGAAATTTCCAATGGACTCTAGAAACTGTACTTTGTTTAGTTAGCTCCTTCTTTGGTTTCTAATCATCATCAATATAACATTTACAGTTTGAAAAATTTCTTTTATAAGACAGGATACGTGCTTCACGTATACAATCATGTATAAGGTAACACGTTATTTTGAGGTTATTTCTTACCTGCACCTTCTATTTCTTTCGTCGACTTTCACCAGAATGCAAAATAAATCTGAGCTTAAATAGACAGCGAATGTCATTTAGAAAGAGTGTTGCAACAATCGTTGAGTAGCTTGATAGCCGCAGAAGCAAACCTTTTTACCCGGTTGATCGGTAAATTTTTGAGTGATTTTGGACATGAGTTGGCTTTTAGGCTTAAGAACTCATTAGCTGGGGCCAGGTTATTACATAGACAATGTTGTATAGGCCGGGTTAGATTGTGTATTTTGCTGCTTTAAACATTGCAATTCTTAATTCTCGTAAAAAGTAGAGGCCAGTATTTGTTAAGTTACACTATATAACATAACATTAATAAACTATTTAGTCAAACCATATTTCTGTATTACTGTAGTTTAGTTATATGCTTGTTTAGCAGAGAAGACGACAATTATATCAGAGCAAAAAGTACTTTTACGCACTTGAATTTAAGTTTAGATTTAATATTACTCTTATTTCAAAATTAGAGGTACGGACTAGCATAGCACCAACGAAGATTACATCGCATTTGCATTTTATTTTAGAAATGGGCTTCCCATTGTATACATGAATAATATACTTACTTATAAAAGACTAATTCTTAGCTTTGGGTTTTCCACTCTTGGAGGCATAACGCATTCTGTAGATAAGATATCGCATAATTAAATATAATTGTTTCCTTAATTAGAAATAAACTTACGCTAATAAATTACAGAAGAGCTGGTATATTAAACGGTAGCTTTGAGGCTTTAAACCAATTCTTTCACTAGGAAAATTTTTTAAAAATTAACATTACCAGAGTTTGAATGACAATGGAAGAACCAGTATTTAAATTAAACTAAAGCAGTTGTTTGATTTTGTCTAGTTTACTTATACATTTTTTAACAAACTGCTTGTGTATGGAAACTGTTAACACACACACACACACACTTATTATACTTATTTGATAATCGCGTTTATCATTATCATGTCATGTTTTCATACTCTGTATTAATAATCGAAATTTAATAATCAGCATGTTATTCTACTATTATACATTCCATCAAAATCCGATGCGATTAAGCTAAATGTAATTTAAAATTAGGCAAGACTCAAACTTATATTAACACCGGTTTATGGTAAGCCGCTTAAGTAGTAGAAAATTAGTTTTTAAGAAAAGAAATCATTGCCTATGTCTTGAGATATGCGAGTTTTCTCTAAAAACAGGGTCTAACGGAAGGTTATTTTAGATTTATTTTGAATCTCGGCTTGAACTAGTTCTCTTACAGAATTTTCATCTTTTCAGCATGAGAAACATTAACATGCCCTGTTGTCAAATATGAATTTTTAGTTTGCATTATTCCTTGGTTGATAGCTTTTCGGTTATGCTATCACATGCAGTATTCCATCTCACCAAAATAATGGTAAAAGACTGAGTAGGGCTGCAGAGACATTAGGTATTTTTTGGAAGCAAGTAAGACGAAAAATATGCAACACCTTCGTCGGGAATCGAACCACGGACCTCTCAATTACACGCTGAGCGTGCAAACCACCACACCACGAAGGCGGGAGAAATACCTTTTATAGCCCCCTTTTAAAGGGCGACTGGGGTTTTTAGGGGACCCAATCGCCAAATCCCGCGGAAGGAGAATCATCATCCAACACCCTTTTAGTTCGAGCGCCACTGTAGAGACATTAGGTATTTTTTGGAAGCAGGAAAGATGAAAAATTAGCAGCGCCTTCGCCGGGACTCGAAACAGAGACCTCTCAATTACGCGCTGAGCGTGCAGACCGCCACACCACGAAGGCATGCCCGCCTTCGAAGGCCATGCCAGGCATTCTTGGCATGCCTTCCTGGCATGCCAAGAATACCTTATAGGGCAACTAAAATAAAAGCCATATAAAATATTTATTAACACGTGGATACACTGGGTATTAAGAAATTTTCAATAAGATTTTTATAACCTTATGAAATAATACATTATGTGCTGTTAGTTCTATATATGCAATGTTTAGGCAGTGATAATGAAATTAATTCAAATAAATGCAAGAAAGGCTTACTTCCTGATTCGTCGTATTCTAGAGGTATAACTTTGTCGGACGATATGGAGAATCTTTTCCTTTGTGCTTGAACATTCTGTAAAAAAAAAAAAAATGTTTAATGTTTTAAAACGAATTAGAAATACGAAACTAAAGCCTGAATTGACGGTAAAATTTTTGAAAAAAAAAATACTTTTACTGATAATTAAAGGCCTTTAAAAAATAAAATGGAAGAAAGCGCTGACATTTGCTTCCCTTTTATTTTATACAATTTAATCGTTTAAAAGGTTCTTTGGCAACGAATAAACTGTTGAAATACGAAAATTGAAAAGCTCAGTTAAACAAAAGTTACTTTAAATATAAAAGTCTGAGGCAGTATGTTGAAAGGGCTAAGAACACAGTCTGGATTAGGGAAAAAATGAAGAAAGACGGGATCTCTAACATAAAGCAAAAATTTTTATTTTAGATATTTTAACAAAATATTTTAGTCACAATTCTGAAAACAAGAATAAAGAATAACCAATTTAATAACAGTACGTTAAAGCTATTTTTATTTAAACAGCGATTAAATCAAAGTTTTCAGTTAAAGCATTAATTGAAAATGCTGAAAGAAATGCTATTACTAGTTGCAGACAGCTTCATATTCCTGTCAAACTAAAATATAATACGGTAAAAAAGAACAATCATTTATCCACATTCAAAAATTTTATTTTTTACACTTAATTGTAATATATTTGGTCGTTTTTAGTAGATTTGATATTTGATTAACCCAGAATCAACATTTAATGTTTTGTAATGTATCAATTTCTGTGGAATCAAAGAACTTAATTTGTTGTACTAAGAAACTGCAATTAGAATACATACTCTTTTTTATCCACAGTTTTAGCAGCTTCACGAGGCCTAGTTTTTCGACGAAATTAATATAAATATGTCAGTCTTTATGATGCTCTATTAAGACTTCATATGCTATGCTTTTCTTTCTACGCGCAGTACTTTCATGCAAAGAGCCATTTGGCTTTGGTTTTGTCTTTTGTCTAAGCATTTCATTTGCACAAAAATAATAATATTTGGTAATCTCAAAGTTTTCATTAATGGTAATCGTTGTGTGCACCATGAACTAATCTCATAAACTGCTGAAAGAGAAAGAAATTCGATTCGCGAGAGGAAATGAAGGTATCTTTAGGATAAACGGATGTCTCCACTTTTGTGAATCGGAGTTTGTAATTAATTATCAATCCTTTACCATTAAGGCAATAATAATTATGTTCATAATTACTGAAACTTTGCATTTTTACTTCATATTGGCATTGTATCATATCCAGCGCCCATATGTTATAACTTGATATTGGTATTGTATCACATCCAACGTATGACATACTTGATATTGGTATGATATCATATTGTTGCGTTTTTCTCTTCTGACACCAGTTACGTTTTTTTTCCCTTCCTTCACGTTCGTACGGGGTTCGCGTGAATTTAGAGTGAATAACGGCGACACTTGAAGTAAGTTAGTTAGTTAGTTCTAAGCACTGGCCCCCAGCCCACCTAGCAGGCGAAACCTGCCATATGGCTATGAGGGGACAGGCCAAACCACAACGGTATAACAACAAAAAAAAAAAAAAAAAAAAAAAAAAACGTAAAGTAAATACATACATTCCAAACACACTCTCGGTGAATTAGTACATAAATGTGTCGTTTCCATTTCTGTCTTTTTTCTGAAGTTTAAAATCTTTATAAGTTTTACTTTCAATTAGTTATTATTATTCAAATCTTCTTTATATTATCAAAATTCATCTTAAATTTATAAGTTACCTCAATTATTTCTGTTTTCAATATGATTTTCTTCTTTTTTATATCTCGATACCAATATTCTTCTTACTCTCATTCACAGTTTGTATAATATCTCTTGCAAATTCGCACTTGATGAAGTATCGAAACACACTTTATTGGTCAGTATTGTCAAGACAGCTCCAAAACACGTTTTTACAGTCGTCAATGAACTACTATAAACACGCTGACACGATCAGCGACACAGCCTTCAGGTTATCAGGCTATCACGATGGAGACAGCTTCACGGCAAAGCACTAGAGTACTGCTCCAGACTCTGCTCGGTCGTTCTCGGAACTCCACGTACTCTTAAGACTCTCCACGCTACAATTCGCGATGCACTCGACGACACACAGAGCACAGCTCCCGACTCTTCGGCTCAGTCGTTCCCGGAGCTCAACACGCTCTCTTTACGATGCATTAACCGCGATACACTAAGAGACTCCTTCGGTGAACTCGACGACCCACTCGGCACTCGCTGCCCGGTTGTCAACTCGATCGACTCCGCAGGGATTAACTCGCTAGACGAGACACCAACTCGATACTAACTCTCTCGCACTCAAGAGGAGGCACTCTGACTAGCCCTCTCGACGAGGCACACTCTTGATACTAACTCTCTCGCACTCTATACGAGGCACACACACTGCGAACCAGCAGGGTTTATATAGCTTTCGGCTTGTGTTCGAGAATATTCTGTGCTAAATCGGTGAGAATTCGTTCCAGAAGGTTCTCCATCTGTCCATGGCACATCACCAATTTTGTCACAAATTTTGCCAAATTGGCGATTTCTCGTCAAATGTGACAACCCTGCCTTCCTTTGCCATTTTATGGCAACCTTAAAACTGCTTTGCAAGGAAGCCATCTTACCACGCCTGTACATTTCGTAACAATATAATATGATATTGGGTATGATACAATACAACACACCCCACAATGTACAGTATATGTGATCAATGAGGCCAAATCTGTATCTGACATGTGGTATATGTGTATTATTATTTTAAGTGTGCTTTATTTGTCATAAGTCTTCAGTGTTAATCAAGTGTATCCCTCTCCCCCCTTTTTTTTTCCCTCTGCGTGTTGTGTTTTCTGTTATTTTTCATGTTTTTGTGTTTTCATACATTTAGTACCTAGCTCTGAGCTCTCCCTGTAAATCCGTCCACAAGTCTCATACTGTAATTATGTAATTAGTCAAGCAATGTTATTAAGTCGCCCCTGTTTGGCCATGTAAACTCCTGCACCCTTAATAAGCTCCCGGTGTGGACTCTTGAGGCCACAGGGAATTGTTGCCATTAGATAGTGGAAGGCGAGGGACACATGCCTGTTTATCTCTGGTAGCCATCAGGCGTCCCCGTCTTCCGTCACCTACCTACCTACCTACCAATATCAAGTATGTCATATGTTGGATATAATGCAATACCAATATCAAGTATGTCATACGTTGGATATGATACAATAATAATATCAAGTTGCACCATGTGACGTTGGATATGATACAATAGCAATATCAAGTTGTATCATATGACATAACTTATTTTCATAACTGATGTATAACCAGCGTATGAAAAAATCTTTTACACTAAAGCACTAATCACCAATCAGTAATAATTATTATATGTATTTTTATTATATGTATGAATTATTTATTGCCATAACTGCCATTTTTTGTTTTGTATATGTATAAAAAAATAACTTCATTTTTAAAAACATTGAAGCGTATAGAATTTTGGAAAAAATTATCGGAGTAAGCAAGATACAAACTACTCAAATATCGATCAGTTTTATAAAAGGGGTTTGGTAGCGCCCCTTAGAAAACTGAACAGTTTTGTTACGGTTATCCCACATCTCCTATTTTTATCAATTAGTTTCTGTTCGGTAACGCTTAGTTATAAATTTTTTGCTTCAATTAAGCCTAGATTAGATACTAAATTTAATGTTAAGGGCTTAATTTTCTAAATATCAACATGAAGTTAAATTTCAGATGTACAAAATCAAGCAGTAAATTAGCTCAGTTACAATTTTATCATTAAAAGATAACAGAACTTTAAATCATTAATTTAAAAAATTGGACTAAATAGTGACACCTGGAAACCCAAATTTCGGATTTCGAGTTTGTTTTATTGTGTATTTCATACTTTCTAAAACGTTAACGTATTTTTTATTAACAAACTCAATGATTTCAAGGCGAGCAGTAGACGCACTGTACGCGAAACACATTTTTATCTCAAGCGTGGGAGACTGTATATTGGAAATTCTAAAGATATGTTGTTTTTAAATATTTTTAGTCCAAAAGAACATTAGCCCAAACACTCTCGAAACGTGTGTGTGTATGTAAATGAAAAGAAAAAAAACCGCCCCTTTGGGCGTGATATAAAAACTGAGAGCTTTCAGATTCTTTTATTGTTTTTTTTAATCCTACGTGTTTCATTTATTTGCTTTATTTAAAGTTGATATGTTTTCTTTCAATTATATTTTGTGAGATACTTTGTGTTGCACTAGAAAAATATTTTTCTTTTAATAAATATTAAAAAGAACCTCACTAGTGATGAGGTAGAATATATGTAAAGCTATTCAAATGCTGTCTCTTTGTTTAAAGAGTTAGAAATCCTTGTGGTGAAAATTCACTTTGGAATTTATGTGACACATTAATTTTGATTGCGGGCAGTTAAATAATTTAGAACCCAAGAAAGGTGTGAAAAATCTATGAAATGCACCAACGCGATATCTCGAAGCGTTCATAATTAACTCCATTAAACATCTGAAACGGACAACTTTCTAGTTATAATAAGATGCAGAATAATATAAAACATAAATGTAAGCTAAATCCAGCTTATATATGAAATCGCGTTCAGAATTTGTGGATATTCCATGCAAAGCAGTTATTTGAAGTCTCACAGCCAACGATTTAAAGAAAATATTTTTTTAATTGTACTACTATTAACAGAATTAATAAATTGAAAGGAATTGACATGTATAATTAATCGTGTTATTTAATTAATTCCTTTAATAATGTATTAAAATTTTATTAATCAAGCAATTACAATTAGGTATTTTTGGTGTATTTAATTATGGCAAAGCACACGAGGGCTATCTGCCTAAGGGGAGGGCTTTCTAAGGAAAACTGGCTCGTATACACGTTACACATGGGGAAAACCACGAAAACGCCCATGCAGCCAGCCCCGTTCGCGAGATTCGAACCTCGGACCGAACTACCAGTGTTCAGCGACTTTACCGCTCGGCCGCTGGTGGGCCCTAGGTATTTTTGTATTG